TCCTTGATATATATATTGAAAAGCCTAAGGACTGATTTTATTGAAATAGAAAAGATGCATAAAGGTTGTATGAGAGGGCCCAATAAAGGCACCCTACTCATACGATACCAAGCACAATACTGCCCCAACAAAAAAATACGGATAGACTCAAAAAATTTAAAACATGCAGAGAAAAAAGTAGCTAGGGACAAACCGGTTTAGTCATGCCTCTTCTTCTAGTTTTAGGAGCTGAGCCAGATAACAAACTTGGAAGTGACGTGTCATTGCCAGGAGTAACCAAAGTATCATCCATTGAGTTTCCAAGCTGGAGTGTGCCCCCAATCTTCTTTTTCCGCCGAGAAGTGTAAACCTGTCATTCTTCATCTGAAGCCTGGCTCATGTGATCCTCGATCTGATTAGATATTAGAACCGCTGTAGAAGGAAAGACAGTACTTGACATATATATATAATCAATTGTCTGTGAAGTGTGAATTGTCACCTCTTCATTCGATGCTTTTTGAATAGGAGCTGCGGTCCCTACCTCTGGAAATCCTCTCCGCTGACTTGCAGCCGGTCAGATTCTCCATGTTGTTTTTCCCATAGCAGGCTCTTACCTGTAGGTTCCTAGCCATACTCTCTCTGCTGTCTTCCAAAGCAGAGTAGCCCAACTTACATCTGTCCACAGGAAAGTCCTGCCCTAAGCAGAGCACAGCCGCAGTAAACTCCTTCCCGAGCAAACAGAGGAACTGCAAGAATTCTGTCGGCCTCACAAATGGTCCACACCTTGTGAACCATTCCCCGCGGCCTCCTTTCTCCATTGTTTATTCCTGCAAGCTATCCAACAGGTTTTCCTACAGCTGCATGACCTCCTTTTTCTGCTTCTGCTCCCTACAGCTGCCAGCTTGCTTGCCGGCTCCTTGTAGGCCATTTTTTCTTCACCCTCTTCCACTAGAGCGGCCACTGTCTTCCGCCAGAGCAGCTACTGTCTTTCCTTCCTTTTTCTGCTGTCTTTCTCCTATGTCTTCCTTTAGGCCATCCCGAAGCTTCTCCCTGCAACCCCTAGTATCGGAATTCTCCTTGCAGTCTCTCCAGCTTTCCTGACAAGCATACGTTCATCAGCTCCTCCAGCAGCACAAGTGGTCAACTTTCTTCTTGCAACTAGCAATAGGTTAAATTTGAATCCTTCACCGCTGAACAACTTAAAAGTACAAAAAAAAAATTCTTAGAAGTAATTCAAAACAACCCACCAACTTCTTGACACACCAATGTAATATATCATTCTCTCATCTTGCCAGTAATGAGAGATTAAGAACTTGGATTATAGATTCAGGAGCCTCCAATCATATAATCAGAGACATCAATACTCTAGTCAACTATCAAGAGACTTATACATTTAGATCTGTCAGACTTGTAAAGGAATCACACTAAAAATGGCTGGAAAAAGAGATCTGAAGTCATCTCGGGATATTAATATTTCCTCTATTTTATTTGTTCCACAGTTGGATTATAATTTGATTTTAACAGCAAGCTTATTCTTGATATAATACAACTAAATTTTTTGCACACTTTTGAATTTCAGATAGTGAACTCGGGGAAAATGATAGGCGGTGTTGAAATGCATCAAGATTTATACCCACTCAAAGAAAATCTCTCTATACAAAAATGATCTCACCTCCAATTTTTACCTCTAATTTTTTAGTCGGTTGAGTCTATATCAGTCAAAAAATAGATCATGTTATGGCATTGTCGTATGGATCATCCAAATTTCAATTGTATTTTGAAGTTTTATCATCTTTTATTTATCTTTAAAAATTCTAGTTCTTATCAACGTGAGGTTTAACAACTTATCAAACACACTCAAAATAGTAATCCCATGGCCCAGTATAAATCCTCACACTCTTTTTTCTTCACAGAGATATTTGAGGACCTTCAAAGGTGAAAACCCTAAGTGGGGCTAGGATAATTTGTCTTATTTATTGAAAGTCATACTAGAACTACTTTGGTGTTCCTAATACAACAACAATAAGCCTTTATCCCACTAAGTGGGGTCGGCTACATGAATTGTTTTTTTTTCCATTACGTCCTTTTGAGTGTCATATTTTTCTTTAATTCGAACAGATTAAGATCATTTTTTATATAATGTATCCAAGTCTTTTTAGGTCTACCTCTGCCTAATGAAGGATAAAATCTAAAACCTCCTAAATCTTTCAAACTTTTCATAACATGATTAAAACTCAATTCCAATGCAAAGTATATATCCTCAAATGTGATAATGCCAAGGAGCATTTCAATTCCATTATTGTGTTATATCTTTTAAAAAATAGAATTATCCATGTCAGTTCATGTATTGATACCCACAACAAAATGGGATAACTGAGAGAAACAACAAGCAACTCCTTGAGGCATCTCACTTAATTATGATGTCCCATTAAGTTCCAATATATTTTTGGGGGGAAGCAGTTCTTATCGTAACATACCCTATCAACCGAATGTCTAGCCATGTACTTAACTTTAAAACACATCTTCATGTTTTGATGATTACCTATTCTCACATCAGAACTTTCTTTCATACTATACCATTTAAAATATTTGAATGTGTATCATTTGTTCACGTCCATTCCTATAATTGCACAAAACTTGACCTTAGATCTATCAAGTATATTTTTCTTGAGTGTATCACCAACAAAAAGAGCAAAGTAGCAAAGTACTACTTTGCTATTGTCAAAAAATACAACTCCATGGATGTCACTATTTTTGAAAATCAATTCTACTATCCCTAATTTTTTGTTCAGGAAAAGTGTGCAAATGAATATCAATTTTGGGATGCACTTGATAACACTTATATGGCCTCACCTCCTACTCCACCTAGACCTACTATCCTCCCCAACTAACATAATCAACCCAATCTAAACTCTATAACAAAGAACGTGTGTACACAAGGAGAAAGAAAAAACTTGAGCAAGTGGAAAACAATTTGCAATGACATAACTACTCAAACTAAAACTTGAGTCCACTTTCACATGAAATTTCGTGTAATGAGTCTAATATTAATGAGTTATCCCTGTCCTATTTTGATGCCAATGGCGTAGAAAGCTACATTAGATGTCAATTTAGGAGTATTGAGCTTATGGAAAGCTATTCTCATTCTACAAAGCTTTTGTTTGTAACATTAATAATTTGCAGATTCCTAAATATATTCACGAAGCTCTTCAAAATCCAGAATGGGGGAAAGCAGTTGAAGAAGAGATTTGAGTACTAAAGTTTAATGGTGCATGAATCATTACTAGAATCACTTAGGATAAGAAGCCGGATGAGTGTAAATGGGTGTTCAACATCAAATATAAAGCTGATTGGGGGTATTAAGAGCTTCAAAGCCGATTTGTTGCAAAATGTTCACTCAAGCCTATGTGATCGACTATCAGAAGAAGTTCATCGAAGCTACCAAACTTAACGCTTTCAAAGTTCACCTTTCAGTAGCAATTAACAAGAAATGTGAACTATATCAACTTCATATAAAAAATGTCTTCCTGAATGGGGATCTGGAAGAAAAAGTGTATATGGAGATACTATCAGGACTTGAGAATGATTCCATCAAAAATTTAATATGCAAACTCGGGAATTCTCTTTATTGGTTTAAGCAATTACCAAAAGCATAGTTTGAAAGATTTGATAAAACTATGAGATCTAACTGCCATTTTGAAAATTAAGTTGATCATTCTCTATTTGTATAACACGGTCAGGAAGGTAAGATTGTTGCACTAATAATATATGTGGATGATAGAATTCTTACGATTGGCGATGAAAGAGAGATTCTTAAGATCAAAGAAGTGTTTGCTACGGTGTTTGAACTCAAGGACTTAGGAACCAAAGATATTTTCTGGGTACGGAGATATTAAGGTTCAAAAAAGCCATCATTATATCTAAGAGGAAATACACCCAAAATTTACTAAAAGAAACAGAGATGATTGAATCTAAGCCTGTCGATACTCTAATGGATCCCAACCACAAGC